GCTAGGATTACAGGCGTGAGCCACCGCGCCCAGCCTATTTTATATTTCTAATAAAATATTTAATTGCCTCAATCCCATCTAATTGCTTTTACTCTTATTCATGTTTTTTTCAGGCTGTGGGTGTGGTGCTTCTTAAAAGGTTGTACTTCCAAATTTATCCTGTATCTCACTTTTTGCTGATTTTGCTAAGCAGTTTCAGAAAAGGGCTATTACTCCTTGTAGGTTTTCATTTAGTCGTATAATCTACCAACCAAAAAGAGATTACACTGTACTTTGATGGGGCTAAACTTGGTGTGAAGAAGTTAAGAAAATAGAAAAAGCAGCCCAGATATTATACAACAATTAAAAAGAATGAGTTAGATCTATATCTGATCTATAAAGCTGTACATGCTGTACTATTAAGTGCCAAAAGCAGGTTGCAGTACAATGTGTTACAGTGATAATAATAATATTAAGAAAAGACTCGCTCACAAATAAGCATGTACTTTAAATATGAGCAGGAAGAAGGGTGCAGAAGGATATACATCAGGCTGTTAACTGTGGTTAGCTTGCTTGTTAGTGACAGTGGTTGAGGCTAACAGTGGGCCCAGATAATCAGTATTTAAAGATTTATATTTTTCTTTACATACTTCATATTGTTTTCCCTTTCAATCAACTTTTTTAAAAAAGAATTCATAAATAAAGCTTTAAAATGTAATCCGAATAACACAGTTTAAAATGAGTAACCCTTTGGAGAACATTTGAATCTAGGATTATAAGCTAGGAATGCTGTACTATGTCTGGTGTGTAAAGGGTATCTACTTAGTAAAGTCAAACTGCATCTTAGACGAGTAATAAATAATCCATCAAGAAAGTGAGTATGAAAATAGCTTCCATCTGAAACACATCATACCTTAAGACACTGTTATGGACAAGAAGAATAATCATTACACTTTAAAAAATAGTTTCAATGAACAAAAGTGACATAAAAAATTGAGCTATGTAGCAGAATGCAAGCTTTTTACTTATTTAATTAAAAAAATATGGCAATATCACGGAAGGAGACTAGTATTTACTTAAAGCAGAATCTTCAGTAAAGCCTCCAATTCTCATGTGGATTTTACAAAAATATCAAGGCAACAGAGATATAAATATCCTTTTATAAACTAACTGTTTTCTTGTAAAAGACTCACTTACAAGCTTTTATTTTGAAGTAAATTTAAAGATGGTGACCTAGAAGATACAAGTACTTCTGGGTAAGGCTGAAGACCCATTTGTTTGTTATCTTTCAACTTTTGTACTATAACTTTAGCAAATTCTTCTCCTTGGATGTCAGTGGTGTCCAGTAATTGTCTGACTTTTGAGGTCCTTGTAGGCTTGGTACTAATAAGTTCATAGTCCTCCTTCATGATCAAGTCCCTGGAGAGAAGGGCGTCTAGCGACTGGTTCAGGCAGGCTTCTGTCATTTGGTTCACGATGTCTTCCCTTTTGCTCTGGATCCACTGTTGTGCTAAACCAGGCTGCAGACGCTCTGTAGAAGAGCAAAGAATAAACGATTAAAAAGGTGAGGACAGATACATAGCAATGAGTAAAATTACATGAAAAAGAAATAAGGCATAAAACCTAACTTTCTTATGATTGTGCCAATATGGAACACCAGTGTTTTTGGGGACACTGTTATTTTTCAGGAAACGTTCAGAAGCTTAGGCTATCTCTCCCCTTACCACCCAGAAAATGCACTGCCTTTTACATGCTACAAATCTTGGGCCAAAACCAACTTTTTAAGTTTTTGTTTTTAGGCCTGTTTTTTTTTTTTTTCCTGTGTATTTTTCCAAATATAAAGTAAACCTACATATTTGTTAAATAAACAAAAATTTTACCCTTAGTAACATTAAGCAAAATCTCCTCTCAGTACTCCCTCCCTAGTTAGATATTCATGGAATACCATTTGGGCTATTACTACATGTGAGCATTCCCATCTTCTGGGAGTTGAAGTGCTTTCCTACTTAAGAAGGTATGCATTCATCATACTGAGGAAATAAAGACAAACCTTAGCGTATGGCAAATCTACTCAACATCTATTTGTGAGATAAATGGCATCATTTACAAACTGTTTTATAGTAAATATTTACCTGAATGTCCCTCAGCTAAGAGTGAATTTATTATTGCTGTAGAGTATGGAATAGTCTTATCACAGAATGTCACCTTTTGAGATGCAGAAATGGTAGTATCCCAACTGTGATTTACTGAACAGTGATGTGGCTTCGCAGAAGAATAGTCCTGAGTTTTTCCTATAAAAAACAACATCTTCATTAGGGTAGAATAGTCCTTAGATACTCCTATTAGCTAAAATATCAACACCTGAGCATAGGGAAGGCAGGTTCCAATGTATTTAGATTTTCCACTGCTATTAAAGATGGTTAAGAGACCTAATTCTGCAACTAAGTATTTTTTGAAACAAAAAAGGGTTTATATAGAATGTTACTATAACTTCTGTATGTGATTTTCTGTCCTATGTAAATTATAAATCATGGAATTTTCCTTCTTCACACAGTCCCACATTTCTCCTTGTGTGTCTTCTTATTCTGTACTTTCAATGTGTCCTCTGAATATATACATATATGACATGTGTTTTTAATTTTTCCTCTGGCCATCCTAGTCAACCTCATGGCCTTAATTGTCACCTCTTCCCAAATCCATGTAATTAAATTTTCTGTCTTCATTCAACATTCTTACATTTTCAAAAGGCCTCTGGACATCATCTTCATATGTGCTGCTTGTATCAGGCCATTAAATCTGTCATGTCTGATTTCGAATTAAAAGTGTAGTTTATTATATGTCAAACAGGAAGCAGTACAATTAATCATAGTTTGCGCCTAAATGGTAGCTCATGTATGCCAGCAGCGAATAAGCCAGGGAAGAAGCCTGGAGAGCGAGTGGCGATGAAATCGTGAAAGGCGTTTTCCACAGCTTGTTGAGAATTGAATATTTTTCCTTGCAAGAACTGGTCCAAAGCCTGGAAGAAGTGGTAGGCAGTTGGTGCAAGGGCTGGTGAATACTGTGGAAGACAGAGAGTTTCCAAGTCCAGCTTCTGTAGTTGGAGCAATGTTGTTTGTGCGACAGTGTTGTCTAGCAAGAGAATTGGCCTGTCTCTATTGACCATCTCAGCTCCTTAATTACAAGCATCCTCATTATTTCATCCAATTGGTTGCAGTAGACATTCCCTGTAATCGATTGACCAGGTTTCATGAAGCTGTAGTGGATACCAGCACTGGACTACCAAATAGACACCACTAGTTTTTTTTGATGAATGTTTCGTTTTGGACTATATTTCAGCACTTCATCTTTATCCAAAAAATTGTGCCTAATGCTTGCAATTGTCAAAAAGAATCCATTGTTCACTGCACATTACAATACAGTGTAGAAATGGTTTGTCTTTATGTTATGACAGCAAAAAAGGCAAGCTTCAAGACGATTTATCTTCTGATGCTCCTTTAGTTCATGCGGAACCCATCTATCCAGCTTCTTTACCTTGCCTGTTTGTTTCAAATGGTCTAATATTGTTGGAATAGTAATGTCAAACGTTGCTGCTCATTGATGTATTGGTTAAGATGGATTTGCTTCCACTACAGCTTTCAGCTCATCATTATCCTCCTTGATCTCAGGTCACACACGTGGCTCATTTTTAAGATTAAAATCACCAGAAAGGACCTTCTCAAACAACTGACATACTGTGCGTACATTAGCCACATCCTTCCCAAATATTTCGTTGATATTTTGAGCTGTCTGTGCTGCATTAGTTCCATGATGGAACTCACATTAAAAAATAACACAAATTTTTGACTTATCCATGGTTTCACAAAAATTGCTCTGAAAAAAAATTTCAAAGATAATCACAAGCCAAAATGTACATTTGAAAGAACGAGGATGTACCTTCGCAATAAAAAACAAAAAACAAAAAACACCAAGAAGTGTCAAAGTGAAATGTCAGAGATAGCAACTGTGAATACTTAGTATTTAAGGAAATCGGACATTTCATACTTAAAACCTTGATACCTCAAATTAAAAAAATATTAGAAACTTAATTATTCATCAAAACTCTAAAACCTGTTTCAACTTCTATTTCTGTTAATTATGCTAATGTTCACCCAGTTACCAGGCTTAACAACTTATTCAGCTTTACCTCTTGCTTCCTCTCTTCCCCGCTCCAAGTGCAAAGTTACACAGTCCTACCGTCGACTTCTCCATGACGTCTCTCGCACCACCCCTCCCCTTTTTATTCTGCATCAGTTCTCATAATTACTCACTGGCACTACGGTTAACAGTCTCCTAACTGGTCTCCCCATCTCAAGTCTCCTTTTCCTTTCAAAACATCTTACAAATTCCAATCAGGATGAATCTTCCTAAAGCAAAAAATTTTATCGTGTCACACACCCATGCTCAAAAATTTGCAATAGTTGCTCCCTTCTCAAGTAAAAAAGCCCAAATAGTTACTGAGTGTTAGAATTCATGATGACTCCACCCTACTTATCTTTTATCATTCACCCTCTTCATCAGCTAAACCAAACTACTCACTGTTCTGTGTTTTCTTGCTTCTGTGCCTCCTTGTTCTTGTTCCTTTTGCCTGAGATGTCCATCCTTTATAACTAGAGGCCCAGCCTTCAGCCAGGAATAATTTCTTCATGATGACAGCATAGTGTAGTGGAATGACATGAAAATATTTCTCAAAAGACCTGGCTTCAGGTCTTGGATTTACCAGCTAGCAGCTATATGATCCAGAGAGTCCTTAATCTGTAAAATGAGGACTATCTCCCTCATAAGGTTGTTGTGAAAGTACTTTGTAAAGAGTGTTACTCTTCCATTGTACTACCATAGCTCTAGGTCCACAGCTCTCTTACAATACATCACTTTCTATCTTGTAGTATGGTTATTTCAAAACATTTTTCCTCTTTCTTACAAGAGTTTTTTTTTTTTTTTGGTATCTTTCCATAGTGTCTAACATAAATGCATTTAATACCTAAATGTATTTGTTGAAGATCCCACTGCTATTTTCATATTTTTAGACCCTGTCACTTTTTAAACAATGAGTTATAAATGCAAACGAAAGAAATGTTCCACATATACCATGAATACTTGTCAAGGATACGCTCTTGAAAGAAAACGGAAAACTTGCACATCAATACTGATTGGAAAATTTACGTACTAGATAGAAAATCATTGTCTTGGGGAGCTGACAAGGACTTTGAGCTTCCAGGAGAACCACTATTTTTATGCAGCTGAGATGATCCACATGATTCCTGAAGTAAATAGAAGGTAAAGGATTTAGGCTAATAAAAAATAATTTTAAAAGTTATATAGCTTTAATTTCTAAATAGTTCTTGCTTGTGGCTTATTACAAATGAAGAATCAAAACTACTAAAAATTATACTTTACAAAATTAAAGAAACACATACATCTATAAAATAACTGACAAAATAAACTTAATTTCTTAATTGACTCAAATGAAAGAAATGGGGCAATAATGATGCATTAAAAATAATTGTTTTTCTGTATTTTCCACATGAACTCCAAGGCTCTGCCCAGTGGCTAGAATAATGGATGAGAAATTTTATATCTGCAACTCTGGTCACCTACAGATTTAGAAATGCCTTCAGGTCAGGTTCCTTCAACATGGAGGGGTGGAAAACCGTGGAAAAGTAATGGAGAATTTGACTCCACTCCTAGCTCCCTGGCTCTCAGGTTGTCTGTAATATTAGTACTGTCTATCTAGAACTGTACATCAATGAGTTGAAGGATCAAATGAGATAGTATATGTCAAAGTGATTAAAAAACTATGTATGGTGCTTTAAGGTTCATTTTGAAGGTATTCTAGGTTTAGTATCCCTGATCTGAAATGTTTGGGACAAGAAGAAATGTTCCAGATTTCAGATTGTTTTCAAATTTTGGAATATCTACATATACATATATCTTGGGGATGCGACCCAAGTCTATAAGTATGAAACTCATTTGTGTTTCATGTGTACCTATCCACAAAGCCTGATGGTAGTTTTGTGTAATATTTTAAGATAATTCTGTGCCTGAAACAAAGTTTTGACTGAGACCCATCACATGAGCTAAGGTGTTGCTATGGTCTGTCTCCACCAAAACTCATGCTGAAATTTGATCCCCAATGCAGCAGTGATGTGAGGTGGGACCTATGGGAGGTGTTTGGGTCATGGGGGAGGATCCCATGAGTGGCTTGGTGCCATTCTGGAAGTGACGAGGGGATTCCTGAGACAGCAGGCTGTTAAAGAGCTCAGCCCCTTCAGTTTCTCTCTTTGGCGTCCTGTCTTGCCACGTGGTCTCTTTGCACCGCCTGCTTCCCTTCCACTGCCGGCCATGAGTAAAAGCAGCCTGAGGCCCTCACTAGATCCAGCGGTCCAATCCCGGACTTTCCAGCCACCAGAAGTGTGAGCCAAATAAACCTCTTTTCTTTATAAATTATGCAGTCTCAGGTACTCTGTTATAGCAACACAAAATAGACTGAGGCAGGTATGGAATTTTCCAGTTGTGGCATCATGTTGGTACTCAGAAAATTTCAGATTTTAGAGCATTTTGAATTTTTAATTTGTAGACTAGGAATCTCAATCTGTATTATTTTTCTGAATCTGTAAAATGAACATATATATTCCTTTTTTGTGTGTGTGTGAGACAAGGTCTCTGTTACCCAGGCTGGAATGCAGTGGGGTGAACACAGCTCATTGTGATCTCCAACTCCCAGCCTCAAGTGATCCTCATGCCTCACCCTCCTGAGTAGCTAGGACTATAGGCGTGTGCAACCACCCCTGGCTAAATTTTTTTTATTTTTGTAGAGACAGGGGTCTCACTGTGTTGCCCAGGCTAATCTCGAACTACTGGGCTCAAGCGATCTTCCCACCTTGGCCTCCCAAAGTGCTGGGATTACAGGTGTGAGCCATTGCATCTGGCCTGAAAATACATATATATATATTCATAAAAAAAGGACTAATATGAAGTCTGAATAAATGCAACTAAAGAAATCTTTCTTCTTATGTAGCAACAAAAATGTTTTTTTCTCTTACTCATTATTGTAAGAGATAAGAACAAGTGGCATAAATATAGTGGTAAAACTGTAATCAATGATTTGCCTATACACTACCCTGGGATGTCATTCCTCGTATAAAACAATGCCAGGGATGGAACTCAATGACAAAGAAGCAAGAATTGTGATTTGATGGGATGAACAATGAATGGAGAGTTAGAACAGCTGGGTTTCAAGTTGTAGATTGCCGTGAGCTACTACACAATTCCTGAAAACTCCCTGGGCTTTAATTTCACATCTATAAAAGGAGGGGTTAGACCGAATGACTTTCATATTCTTCCCACATTTTGAGTTCAACATAATTTTCTTTTACCTCCTGTGGACCATGATTTACAGGTATGCTCAGAGATAATTCCGTTTTCTTCTTATCACATACGTGAAGAGTACTTGAAGCACTCTGTAACTGGAATGAATACATATATTCACTTTAATTGGAGGTGATCAGGAAATTATAGAAGTAAAATGCAATCTACTTAACATACATGTTTACACAAAACCAATGGAAAGAAAATCTAGACAGTTGAAAATATAACATATAACTTAAAGGTAGAGACAGTATAGAATAGGGGAAATAACTTTAGACACACAGACTTTGAATCCTGCCTAATATTAATTGGTTACCTTGAACAAATTATTGATCTCTCAGAATCTCAGGGCTTCATCTTTAAAATGTAATAATATCTACATGCAGGATTGTTCTAGAGATTGAGATAATGAATATAAAGTGTCTGGTACAAACTAGGTACCTAATAAATTTTGGGAGGTGTGTATGTCTATCTATAATTATTAAGCTTTTACTATTTTAGGCACTGTGCTTGTAAATACTATTATTATTTTCATTTTATAGATAAGAAACCAAGGCTTGGACTCAGTAAAGGAGGTAGCATGTCATAATGGAATGGTGGGAGCTGTGTAACCAGCCAGATCTGGTTTAGATTTCTGGGATACCTAACTGACCTTGGGCATGAGACTTAATCTCAGTTTACTTAGCTATAAATTGGAGATAAAAATATCTGTTTTGCAGGAGTATTGTAAAGAAGATTATAATAAATACATGCAAAAAGGCCCTAAGATTACTTGTAAGCATTTAATAAATGGTAGCTGCTAAATAGATAATTTATTTTAAATATTGTAAATGAAAATTGTTCAGTGATTTCCTCCTATAAACCAGACTTGGATTAGTTGCTGTCACTACTGAGTGATTTAAAAATAAACCTCTATCAGTCTGCTTTTCTTCCCCAGACCAACGTAACACCAACTACTCTTCAGAACTTTGGAAATTGGTGGGTTCCACACCCAGCCCTCCATTATTCACATTTACGAATGTCTGCTCCATTACATGGCTAAAGAACTTCAGGAGGAAAATACTCCTATTCATCCATGTATATAATATACCTAACATAGCACTTTGCACATAGTAGTTTAATGTGTATTTATAATTTTTCTTTATTATAACATTTTTTCTTAGGGATGGGGTCTTGCTCTGCTGCCCAGGCTGGAGTGTAGTGGCATGATCATAGCTCACCGCAGCCTTGAACTCCTGGGCCAAAGTAATCCTCCTGCCTCAGTCTTCTGAGTAGCTGGGACTATAGGCTCAAGAAATTGAATCTGGTTATTTATTTATTTATTTTTTGTAGAGAAAAAGGCTCACTATGTTGCCCAGGCCAGTCTTGAACTCCCAGCCTTAGTGATCCTCCTGCCTCAGCCTCCCAAACTGCTAGTATTTAGATATATTTTTATATTGACCTTTAAAATTAGTTTTTGGCTATGTCTCTGTTATGTAAGGTTTTTCTGCTCTTCCAAAATGTATTGAAATATTTCTGATAATGCAAAATACTTGAATTAGTAACACTGTTTTTCATAATTGATCAGTTATGGTAATTCAAATTATGTATGAACTACTGAATCAGTCCCTAACAAGAAATGAAATGAAATACTAAAGAAAAATCACTTTTGTTTAGTTTTTATTATTCAAGATACAGGAGGCGTTTACCTATGAATATGTGAATTTTAGAAGCCAGTTAAAAGAACTGAAAAAATATAAGAAACTCAAACAAAACAAGTCACCCTAAACAGTGATCTTTGTTTTAAGAATTTTTTTTGAAGAGAAGGAGGTCTTGCAATATTGCCAAGGCTGGACTGGAACTCTGGGCTCAAGCGATCCGCCTACCTTAGCCTGCCTAGTAGCTGGGACTACAGGCATGTACCACTGTGCCTGGCTCCAGAAATTTCTTTATGAAAAATTTTATTAAATATGTACTTTTGTCCCTGATATTAGCTAGCTGTGTCGGGTATTACATAAGTGACTAACTTCCCTATACAGTAGTCTCCCCCTATCCGTGGTTTTGCTTTCTGCAGTTTCAGTTACCCTTGGTCAACTGTGGTCTGAAAATATTACATGGAAAATTCCAGAAATAAATAATTTATAACTTTTAGATTAAGTGTAGTTGTAAGTAGCATGATGAAATCTCAAATCGTCTAGCATTGTCCCACCCAGGATGTGAATCATCCCTCTGTCCAGTGTATCCATGCTGTATGTGCTACTTGCTGGTTAGTCACCTAGTAGCTGGCTTCAGTTATCATTAACAACTATCATGGTATTGCAGTGCTTGTGCTCAAGCAATCCTTATTTTGCTTAACAATGGCCTCAAAGTGCAATAATAGTGATGTTGGCATATTGTTATAATTGTTCCATTTTATTATTAGTTATTGTTAATCTCTCACTGTGCCTAACATAAATTAAACTTTGTCATAGGTATGTATATATAGGAAGAAACATAATATAGGGTTTGGTACTATCTGTGTGGTTTCAGGCATTCACTGGGGGGTCTTGAAATGGGAGAATTTCTGTACCTCAGTTATCTCATCTATAAAAATCAGATGATTTTTTGTTTGTTTGTTTGTTTGTTTTTGAGACAGAGTCTCTTTCTGTTGCTAGTGCTAGAGTGTCATGGCATCACCCTAGCTCACAGCAACCTCAAACTCCTGGGCTCAAGCAATCCTGCTGCCTCAGCCTCCTGAGTAGTTGGGACTACAGGTGCACATGACCATGCCCAGCTATTTTTTTCTGTTTTTAGTAGAGACGGGGTCTCACTCTTGCTCAGGCTGGTCTCGAATTCCTGAGCTCAAGCAATCCTCCCACCTCGGCCTCCCAGAGTGCTAGGATTACAGGCGTGAGCCACTGTGCCTGGCCCCAGATGATATTCTTGCCCTAGCAGTTTCACAGAATTGATATAAAGGTTTATTAAAAAAAGAAAAAAACAACTACAAAAACTCTAGGTGAAAGCAATACAGCAACTTAAAAAAATACTGATGAAAGTAGCTGGCTGTGATGGTGCATGCTATGTAATCCCAACTACTCAGGACGCTGAAGGGGGAGGATCACTTGAGCCTAGGAATTCGAGGCCAGCCTGGATAACATAGCGAGACCTTGTATGTAAAAAAAACAAAAAAAGGGAAAAACACTGAGCCAGGTGCAGTGGCTCACACCTGTAATCCTAGTACTCTGGGAGGCTAAGGTGGGAGGATTGCTTGAGCTCAGGAGTTCGAGACCAGCCTAAGCAAGAGCAAACCCCATCTCTACTAAAAATAGAAAAAATCAGCAAGGTGTGGAGGCTTGTACCTGTGGTCCGAGCTACTCGAGAGGCTAAGGCAGGAAGATTGCTTGAGCCCAGGACTTTGAGGTTGCTGTGAGCCAGGCTGATGCCATTGTACTTGTAGCCTGGGTAATAGAGCAAGACTCTGTCTCAAAAAAAAAAAAAGAAAAAGAAAAAACAAACAGAAAACACTGAAGAAAGTAATGTTACTATTAAATGGCATTAAAATAATTGAAAATACACACTTTATTTAAAAAGCCAAAATATCTTCTTAAAATCAACAGTCTTAAATATAGGATCCTAGTGTTTCAGTTGTTTGGGGACAAAAAAGGAACTGGAATGGTTCTCTTCCCTTTCATAATTAAGACAACAGGCCCTTCTATCCATCTTTGTTTGGAAGAAGTAAAAGAAAAGAGAAAGGTGTGAGGAGGAAAAGGGAACTGAAAAGATAGGGCAAAAAGAACTGTTATCGGAAGTTTATATCAATTAGAAGTTAAGGAATTGGTATACTCTGGGAAAGACTGTACTCAGCACTGGAGGAGTGAGTGAAAAGTTCTCAAAAGAACTAAAAGACAGTTCCTCTTTAGTTCTTTTATACACTTCCCTTTTAAACCTAAGGTTATATCCGTAGATACAGCAAACCACAAGGGGCAATCAGTGTTCTTCAGCAGCAAGTAAATCGCAGACTGTGCTTGTTCACACCCTGAGAATTTGGCTAACTGCTGGTTTTTATCATCATATATTAAGAAAAATTTAATGAAACCCAGCAAATGCTAAACTATGCTTACTTTGCCCTACAGGACTGTAATTGTTTTTTAAACAGTTTTTGATAATATTAAAAAAACCCATAGTAATAGGTCCCTTCAATTATTCTTCTGATCCACAAGAACCAGACTGAGTAAATAAGACAACTGTTCTAGGAAATTCACATCAACATTAACTGCTACTGCTACTGCTACTTTGGTCTATGTAACATGGAGTGTTTGAGTAGGAAAATGAAAAAACCCAACAATTAAAAAATACACACTTTGGCCTCAATTATAACAAAAATTCTACAGCTAATTGGCAATGAAAAATAGAAGTGAAAAACCCTGACATCTATTATTCTGAAGGTATTAAAATTTTAGGAAAATAAATGTAGATTAAAAAATAAACAAACACCGCTAGTGCTTCAGGGCATTCACTATACACAACTAGCCTTTGTTACACATTTTAAATTTACACCTGATTATAAGGGTTCTGGAAATGTCTTCAAAATCAAAAAGGTAGTATTCATAGACTCTGGTAAACTTTCCCAGCCCCAAACTGTAGCCTGTATCTGTGAGAAGTATAGAAATTAAAAACTAAAAATCTCCATAAGTAATATACACGTTCTTTGAAGTTCTAATTTCCACCATTTCATTTGGCAATTTACCTTTGTTTTCTTTAGCTGAATAACAGCTTCAAGAAAAGTTATCTCTTCAAATGTTCTCAAAACTGGTTCAAGTTCTATTAAACATTCTAAATAAGAAAAAAAATACAATTTGAGTTCAGATTACTTCTAATCATTAAATCGAAATGCTAATATTTAACTGATAAGGCCCCAAGTCAATTTTTCCCCAAACTGATGACATTCAACTGCCTTAAGAGCCTTTATTACTGACATACAGATAGACATAAGGACAAAGGAATAGGATTGAAAGTTTAAAACTAAATCTTTATAATTACAGTCAACTGCTTTTTGACAAAGGTGCTAATAAGCCAATTCAATGGTGAAAGGATAGACTTTTCAACAAATGATGCTAAAACAATTGGATATCCACCCAGAAATATAAATTTAGACTCTTATTTCACATCATACATAAAAATTAACTTGAAAGGGATCATACACGTAAATGTAAATAAAGGAGAAAATTGTCAAGACCTTGGGTTAGGCAGCGTTCTTAGATATGACATCAAAAACAAAATCCATAAAAAGATTGATAAGTGGACTTCAAAAAATTGAAAACTTTTGTACTTTAAAACACTATTAAGAAAAAATGAAAAAATAAGCCACAAACTAGGAGATTATATTTCCATATCCTGTGTCTGCTAAAGGATTTGTATCTAGAATATATAAAGAACCTTGACAACTTAATAATAGGACAAATAATGAAATTAAAAAACAAGTAAAAGACTTGAATTTCACTGAAGGAGATATACAAATGGCTAAAAAGCACATAAAAGATGCTTAACATCATAAGGAAATGCAAATTAAAACCGCAATGAGATACCACTCCATACTCACTAAAATAACTATAATTAAAAAGACAGAAAAGGCCAGGCGCGGTGGCTCACGCCTGTAATCCTAGCACTCTGGGAGGCCGAGGCGGGCGGATTGTTTGAGCCCAGGAGTTCGAAACCAGCCTGAGCAAGAGCGAGACCCCGCCTCTACTAAAATTAGAAAGAAATTAATTGGACAACTAAAAATATATAGAAAAAATTAGCCGGACATGGTGGCGCATGCCTGTAGTCCTAGCTACTCAGGAGGCTGAGGCAGTAGGATCGCTTGAGCCCAGGAGTTTGAGGTTGCTGTGAGCTAGAATGACACCACGGCACTCTAGCCCGGACAAAAGAGTGAGACTCCGTCTCAAAAAAAAAAAAAAAAAAAAAAAAACAGAAAAGAAAAAGTGTTGACAGTGATGTGAACTGAAACCCCCACACATTCCTGGTGGGAATGTAAAATGATACAGCTACTTTGGAAAATAGTTTGGCAGTTTCTTAAAAATGAAAGATAAATTTATCACTTAACCCAGCAATTCTACTCCCAGATAGTTACCCAAGAGAAATGAAAACATATTCATACAAAGACTAGAATGTGAATAATCATAGCAGTATTATTCATATAGCCAACAAATGGAAACACGGAAAACGTTCATCAACTGGCCAATGCATCAACAAAATGTGGCACATCCATATGATGGAGTATTATTCAGCAATAAACTACTGAACAAGCTACTGAGTCATGCTACAACCTGGATGAACTCGAAAAACATGCTAGGAGAAAAGAGCCAGATGCAAAGGACTACACATTGTTACCATTCCATTTGTATGAAATGTCCAGAAAAGGCAGATCTAGAGAGACAAAAACAGATTACTGGTTGCTTGGAGTTAGAGGTCAAAACAGGTAGTGATTGCAGATGGATATGAGGAATTTTTCTGGCGTGATAGAAAATGGAATTTTTCTTTTTTTTTTTGAGACATGGTCTCACTCTGTTGCCAGGGCTAGAGTGCAGTGGCATCATCATAGCTCACAGCAACCTCAAACTCCTAGGCTCAAGCGATCCTCCTGCCTCAGATCTTCTGTAGTTCTCAGCCTCGAGCTCAAGCTTGGACCACAGGTGTGCGCCACCATACTTCGCTAATTTTTCTACTTTTTGTACCGACAGGGTCTCGCTACATTGCTCAGGCTGGTGGAAATGTTTTAAAATTGGATTATGGTGATGGTTGCAAACTGTAAAATCACTAAAAGTCAACAAGTGTACACTTAAAATAGATGAATTTTATGGTATATAAATTATACTTCAATAAAATTTTCAGGAAAAAACAATCTTTATTGTATAATGGTTCCTGTCTCTGCTATTGTGCTACTTTGCCACTTAACGAGTATGTTAATTGAACAGTTGAACTTATTAATTTCAGAATGTATATTCTATTAGTCATTAATTTTTTCAACAAAGGTTTATTTAAGAGCTTCTTCTTTTCCTTAACTCAGTTAACCTAAAGGTTCTCTTACTTTTTGATATTGTAATTTCTTTTTGGTCTGAACTTTTCATCTCTTTTCAGTAGGTTTACCAAGTAGGTACATTGTGCTTACTTTGATATCTAGAGATCCCTTGTACTTGCATGGTCTCCCATTCGGTCATACTGACAGTGTTTTTCCCTTGGATACACTTAAGTTTTTCCCTATTATTGATTTTCATTTCTACTCTTCCTTTCCCTTTTAGGTTCTCGGCACCTACTTTTCACCATTCCTAGTATCCCAAAGGCTATCGGTGAAAAATGTCTCAGCTAGATAACAGTGATTTTTAGGAAATCAGATAAAATTTTATATACATATGTATATATTATAAAACTGAGTATTTTTATAGCTAATTTTAAAAGATACAATTTAAAAATAATTAGACTGAATTCTTGTTACTAAAAAAGCAATGCAATGTGTTTTTCATTTAACACATATCCATTGCTCATCAGCATTTTATTTTTAAAAAAATCAAAAGTTGCTAAGATAATGGGTTTACATTTTATTTCATTTCCCAGAGCCATGAGGAAGGGTATGTATCTCCTTTGTCCCCAGTGCCACTTTCAAATAGTAATTTCCTCTCCTTTCCCTAAAGATTTTAGTTCCTCTGAAGTTCATGCTATTAGGCGATACTAACTTTTCTGCGAACTTCCTGTTTTTCTCCTACTGTTCACTGGTGACTTTGGCTTTTGGCTTACTGACTTCTCCGCCCTGGTCTGGTCAGTACTCCACTGGATACTTGAAAGGAACCCTCTGCAAATCTCTGGGGTTTTCCCTCTATGTACCCTTCTCCTCTCTGTTACTATGTCCTGTGAATTCTATCTGCCTTGGTCTACCCAGACTCTTGTTCCCATCTCGACTCTGAGTGTCCACTGGACTGCACATCTCAGTTCCCTCCCTGTGCTGCATCTCTCAAGCAGTAAGCTGGGCAGTCATAAGGTACATCTCATTTTTTTCCCATCCCCCAGAGATCGCTGTCCTTCATTTCCTGATATCTAGTGTCTTAAAAAACCACTGTTTCGGCCGGGCGCGGTGGCTCACACCTGTAATCCTAGCACTCTGGGAGGCCGAGGCGGGTGGATCGCTCAAGGTCAGGAGTTCGAGACCAGCCTGAGCAAGAGCGAGACTCCGTCTCTACTACAAAAATAGAAAGAAATGATCTGGACAACTAAAAATATATAGAAAAAATTAGCCGGGCATGGTGGCGCATGCCTGTAGTCCCAGCTACTCGGGAGGCTGAGGCAGAAGGATCGCTTGAGCCCAAGAGTTTGAGGTTGCTGTGAGCTAGGATGACACCACGGCACTCTAGCCCGGGAGACAGAGCGAGACTCTGGGAAAAAAAAAACAAAAACACTGTTTCATATATTTTGTATAGATCTTTTCATTGTTTCAGGCTTGAGGGTAAATTGGCCTGTTACTCCATCTTGACTAGAGGTGCAAGTCATTGGTTTCTCTTTAAATTAATGTCCCAAACTAGACACTAAACATGACTTGGCAGTTCTATTTTGCTTTCCAAATGCATCTTTATTCTATTCTCACAGATTAGTGGTTCTTAGAGTATGGTCCAGGGACGCTGGGGGATGGTGGTGGGGGGTTGGTCTCTGGGGCTCTTATAAACGTTCATAAAGTCAAGACTATTTTCAAAATAATAAATACTAAAGCATTATTTTTCCTGTTTACTCTTATCCCCTCATGACTATATAGTAGGTTTTTCCAGAGGCTAAATGAGGTGTGATGACGTACTGCTCCAGCAGATAATGGAAAGTATTCTTACGTTTTAAAATTTTCTCAATTTCTAATATAGTAAATATCAATAGACATGATCCACATATACAAAAGCTCTCTGATATCCTCAACAATTTTGAAGAGTTTGAGAATTGCTACAAGTTTAAGAATGGCTGTCTCACATGGTCACCTTGTACTGCTGGAGGAGACACTTAAGTCCTTTTCTTCATGTTTCCAAAGGGAGTATGAAATTCTCAGTTCAATACCCAAAAAGGAAAAGTATGAGAGAAACAGCTTTTTTCTGCCCCTCTGTCATTCTTCCTCAGACTTATCTTATTGTTAATTTTAGACAAAAACCATGCACGCTTATCTGGTCCCTTCTCAGTTTTCTCTTTCTTTCAGAAGTCAGCTCATCTAAAGCATGCATACTTCTCTGCTCCGCCTGTAGAAGCAGGGTGAGGCCTGTGGTGAGCTGGTCAAGCTGTCAACTGTGTGGGCAAAGTATTACCAAGCCCATTTGGCCACGGATCTAAAGGTACATTCTCCAGTTAGCTTTATCAGTAATAAAGCCGATATTTTGGTCACCAACTATCTTTCTCCCGTGGCTTTTCTTAATCGATTCTGAACTTAGAAAGGGAAGACCGGGATAATAGGTATTGTACTTCATCTTCTCTTCTTAAACCTCCTACACTCCCCACATTCCATCTTTCCTTTGCGCCGATCACCTGTTCTCATGTTACAATGAGAAAACGGAAGCCATGAGAGGGATTCCCTCAAAGTTCTACTACCAGATCTACAAACTTAGTTGTACCTGTGTCCATCTTTCCTGCCTCATCTCTTTTACAGTGGAAAAAAGTGTCCATATATTGATACGAATGTAAACAGTATCGCTTGTGCTCTGGTTACTGTTTCCATCACCTCTTTAGCACTCTGTTCCTCGTACTCTCACTCAGCTCTTGTACCGCCAATCTCCGCCTGTCTACCAGATCATCCGACTAGCATATGACCGAAATTATTACTCCTATCAGAGGATTTCTCTTTCCTGTAAGGGATTCTCAGTTCTGCTCTAGAGGTAGTTACCCATATATAAATGCAATGATTAAGAAGAGTGAAAAGAATTTAAATGACTACTTTGAGCTAATCATCTAATTTGCATTATTTTTCAAGGAATATTTTATTCACAGTATATTAACTACTTCTCTAATTCAAACAGTCCTGATTAAAGCTGTGTACTCACTTAAGAAAGAGGGTCTTTCATCTGGATTTTGTGCCCATCCACTCTCTATTAAAGAGATCATAAGTGCTCGATGAGGTATATCACACGGCAAACTTTCTTCGTTAGTGTCAGGTCGATGTCCTTGCGACACACTATACATAATCTGCAAAGGGTTGGTGACTTCTGTCAAAATAAACAGATTTTATTTCTTAGAAATATATTATGATCCAGTGAATTAAATATATTTTAAAACTAACCAAAAGAAAATGATGGAATCTTAAAATTTCAGGAATAATTCATTACCCCTTCTGTGAAAGAAATATGTATACATCAGCCAGACTTGTCTCCGTCCTATGGGAGGAATTGACATCCTCGCCTCATTAATTCTGGGTTTGGCCATGTGATTTGATTTGGTCAATGTAATGTGAGTAGAACAGAGCTGAGTGAAACCTAGCATGACCAAGAAAGGCTACAGAATTAATATCTAATGTGGTTGAGAAATAAATGTTTATTCCACAAGCTACTGAGATTTTGAGGTTGTTTGTTACACAGCAAGCTGATATATACAAATCTCAAAATAATCAGGGAATGAAAAAGATTATTCTTCAGCATTTGCTAGTCTTTACAGAAGGAGTAGTAATTAAATTTTCATATAGTTTTACCACTAGAATGGAGTTTGGAAATACTAATTCAAGATTCTCATTTTGGCCACACATGGTGGCTCACACCCAAAATCCTAGCACTTTGGGAAGCTGAGGCAGGAGGATCACTTGAGGCGTGGAGTTCAAGACCAGCCTGAGCTACATAGTGAGACCCCCACCCCTACAAAAAATTAAGAAATTAGCCAGGCATGGTGGTGTGCACCTGTAGTCCCAGCTACTCAAGAGGCTAGGGCAGGAGGATCACTTGAGCCCAGGACTTTGAGGTTGCAGTGAGCTATGGAGAGGCCACTGTACTCTAGCCTGGGCAACAAAGTGAGACCCTGTCTCAAAAACAAACAAACAAAACCCCCCCAAAACAAAAAACCACCTCTTGTTTTGCAGATGACAAAAATGAAGACTCAACAGATTTAGTGGCTTTATCATAGAGCTAATTACTATCATAACAAGACTTAGAATTTAGGTTTTTCTGATCCTCAGCCCAGTATGCTCTCCAGTATACAGCAGATTCACAACTGATCCTTAATCCAGTATACTTTGCAGTATAAGATGGATTCACACTGATAAATTGTTATGTTTTTATAGTGTGTTTTCCATAAAATGAATGATAGGCAGATTTAAAATAAGATGAGCTTTAGACAGTTCTGAGCATGGCTGGCCAACACGATGTTATCTAGAACAAAAAAGTCAAAGTTTATTTACCTTCAAAAGGCTGTTTTCTGGATAATACTTCCCACATGATAACTGCATAGCTGTTTAAGATGAAAACACACATGTTATATATTATAAATTAACTCTGCATAACAAACTAAAATAGCACGAATTTTAAAATCTGACTGTGAAGATACCATTTCTGAAATTGATACGGTAGTGAAATGCTATATAAAGAATCACTATATTTAGCCAAGATGATGGATACTCATACATGGTTTTATTCTGAAAAAAAAACTAATCTTAATTTGAAATTTAGGAAATTACTGCAATAAAAGCTTAATGTTACATGCAAGGATAACTTTTTCTGGATGATTTAATATTGGGTTTAATTCTTTAACACCCAGATAAGCTATGCCCTCTAATTACATGATTCTATTTTTCACACAAAATAAAGAGAAACTAAAAAAAAAATGGTCTCATATAGCTCTATTCTGTTGACTCTTTTTCTGGTCTCAGTATAGTCTTCTTTGGAAGTAAAAATATTCTGCTTACAATTTAACTTCAGTTGTCAATCACCTAGTTAAGTTGCATAGAGTTTATCTTTAAGATAAATGATTAAATAGGATTGCTCGAGGCCAGGAGTTCTGAGACTAGCTTGAGCAAGGACGAGACCCCGTCTCTACAAAAAAAAATTTAGCCATGTGTCCTGGCAGCTACTGGAGAGGCTGAGGCAGGAGGAGGATCACTTGAGCCCAGAACTTTGAGGTTGCAGTGAGCTACGATAATGCCACTGCATATAGGAATTTTGCCATATCATCAAATTAACTATGCATTGAAAATGGACACGTGGAATTGATTAGGTACCAATACATTGTCTTTGAGTAAGAATGAGGATTACAGAGGGAATTCCCACCCAAATCAAGGAATATTTCATTTTTCCCTGACAGAGAATACTGAATTTGAACATAAAGGCATAATTCACAATGTGAATGATAGTTGGATTGATTTTATTTTTTTTGAGACAGGGTCTTGCTCTGTCACCCAGGCTGAAGTGCAATGGTGTCATCACAGCTCACTGCAGCTTCAAAATTCCAGGCTCAAGCGATCCTCTTGCCTCAGCCTTCTAAGCAGCTGGGACTACAGGCATGTGCCACCATGGCCGGCTATTTTTTTCCATTTTTAGTAGAGACAGGGTCTCTTGCTCAGGCTGGTCTTGAACTCCTGAGCTCAAGTGATCTTCCCGCCTTGGCCTCCTAGAGTGCTAGGATTACAGGCACGAGCCACCATGCCTGGCAATAGTCAGATTTAAATAAATCTGTTTTTATGGAACTAAAGCAGCTTTCAAGAATTGCTGGCTGGACCATGGTCTCCACTTTAGAAGATATAAATATTTTCCCCCCTCCCTCAGTACGTCATTCAAAATGAACTAAGCATATCAGGAAACAGAATTTATAAAAGAACATTTATTCATACAATAACGTGAATGTAAAAGATACTGTACTGGGTGGGTGCGTTAGAGCAGCTACTAAAAGGCACTGGCAGGTACTGGATTTAATGAGTAGCAAAAATTAAAATCTTTTTGGAGAAGATGATTATACAATTTACATATATAATTTTCTGACAGAGATGTAGCATTCATCTCTAAGATGATCCATTTTTACCAGGTTAATTTATTAAAGATAGCAAAAAGCTATTTTAAAGGGCTATAAAATGTGTTCATTGTAAATTTAGTAAGTCTGACTTTGCATTCGTTATTATGTTAAAAGAAACAAATGTTAAGTTATAAATGAGGTGAATGCTCCAAACCCCTGATCCTACGCATTGCAAGTTATCGTCTTCCTTGTTTCTGGTCAAATAACCAGAATCAAAAACAATGTATTATGATTATTGCATTATGAGATTATAAGTAATCTGCATCTGAAACATGAAAACATTATCTTATCAAACACACTGATCTGTTATATAAAAATTTCACACATATATAAATATTACAGATTCTTTAAATAGAAACATCCCCAGTATGACTAAAAGTTTGTTTATTTCTCTAAAAAGATGTGTAGATATTAAAGGCTGAAAGGTTGAACAGGATGAGAAACTTAAAGCTAAAATGTTAGGAACCAGTGTTTCCCTCTGCTTCTGCAAGTCACATATAATAAAACCCTTTTTTGTTTTTTTTGGAGACAGAATCTGTCGCCTTGGGTAGGGTGCAGTGGCATCATCATAGCTGACTGCAACCTCAAACTCCTGGGCTCGAGTGATCCTCTTCCTGCCTCAGCCTTTTGAGTTCTGGGACTACAGACATGCCAGGATACCTGGCTAAATTTTTTTTTTTGTAGAGATGGGGTCTCACTCTTGCTCAATCTAGTCTCAGAATTCGTGGCTTCAAGCAATCCTCCTGCCTCAGCCTCCCAGAGTGCTAGGATTACAGGTGTGAGCTACCACACCTAGCCTAAAAGTTTTTAAGGGTGTAAAAGTTGCTTAAAGCAAGGTATCTATAATTTGAAAAACATTAACCACTGTGGTTTCTATAGTTTATTTTTATCACAGTTATGAAACAATAAAAATCACACTTTAAAATGTAGCTTCAAAATTCTGGTTGATTAATCGCATGTTTTAGACAAGGTTAATTCTGAGCAATAGCAACTTTACTATACCTATATATATCATGCTTGACACTGGCCCTCGATTTTTGTCCAGGTTCATAGTTTTCAGGAGGCATATAGATAATTGTCCCTCCTTCTGGTGCAGATTTGCTACTTCGTGATTGTGAGAGGGACATCAAGCGCCATTTTGATAAACCAAAATCTGCAATCTGTAAAGGAAAAGAGTAAATAATTGAATTTAAAAATTCTGTCTTTACAAAGTCTAAGAATTGACTGTCTTTGTGTATATTCACTGTACTTAGTATACCAGAGGAAATGTTACATGTATTAATATTTTATTTCTATATATTTCACAGTTTTTTATGAAATTAAATTCCATAGTGCTGAGCCCAATAACTCTAGAAGCAATACATACTGGCTTAAAGTTTAGTTCAACATAATAAATTTTTTTTTCTTTCTTTCCTTTTTTTATACACACAGGGTCTTGCTCTATTGGCCAAGCTAATTTTTTTATTTTTTGTAGAAACAGGATCTCACTACATTGCCCAGGCTGCTCTTCCAGCCCATCACAAATTTCAAAAGGGAGACTAAGTTTTGAAAAATTAAAGAGTAGTAGTACTTTTTGCCTGATTTTTTGAATAAGTGTATATACCGACTACCTCACTTTTTATGACAAGTAGCTTTTTAGTGCTTTCCAAATTTACCTACTCACAGAACTCATAAGTCTACTCATCTCATACAATTGTCACTGGTCATTGTTTACAGCTCAGGTTTATATTGTCTTATTTATAACACCCTAAAAGTAGCATCCTTAAATTTTGAAATAAGCAAAATCTCAATAGTAAAGGTCATTATTATGTAATTTATGCCTATCACTAAAAAAATCATCTAGTAGCAATAGTATAGTTAGTATGTAAAGCCTATTTATGTCCATTACAATGCGTGCCTAAAGAATTATCAGCGACACATTCTGTACTTCTGATATGTCCTTTATAGTTTTGCTTCAATTGTAAATCTTGTGCAAACATCATACAATATCTTATAACTCTCTAAATATTTGAAAGGTTCTTTATTTTTTAAAAATTAAAGACAAAATGTAAGAACAGAAACAATATTTAGTGGACAGGGAGTATGGGAAATCTTTAAAGACATTTAAATTATTTACAACATCATACTGTATGCTTTAGAAGTCAACAGAGTGGAATGAGCTCCATCTAGCACACCATTTGATTATTTAACTCTTATATTTTTACTAATTTTAACAGAAGAAATAATTTTTCTTAGCGTTTAGATGAGTTGAAGATAAAAAAAAAACTGAGGTCCCCATCCCAAAACAGGAGGGGTAGAATAAATGAATCTTCATACATTTACTATAATAAAAGGGTAAGTCTAAGAAAAAAAATACACAAAATCAAGAATATTTTAAGTTCTATTCATAGCAAAGAAGTGTTCCCTCTTGGATGGACAAAAATGAGAAAGTAGAGGTCAACAACTATTACTTTGTGTCTGTTTTCTCTATCAAGAATAGTTTCTGGGGCTGGGCATGGCGGCTCCCGCTTGTAACTCAAGCACTTTGGGAGGTGGGAAAATTGCTTGATGCCAGGAATTGGAGACTAGCCTGGGTAACACAGTGAGACCCCATCTCTAAAAATATAATAATAATAAAAATTAGCCAGGGGTGGTTGGTTGTATGCCTGTAGTCCCAGCTACTTGGGAGGCTGAGGCAGGAGGACTGGGTTGAGCCCAGGAGTTCAAGGTTACAGTGAACTACGATTGTGCCACTGCATTCCAGCCTGGGTGACAGAGTAAGACCCTATCCAAAAAAAAAAAAAAATAAAAATAAAAAATTAGTTTCTGGACTGAGATGAAAAACAATGAAGTCCAATGAGGTTGAAAGCTTATAAAATACAAGTGTCATATATTTCAAGTTATTGAGAGAACTTACAAATACCTCTACAGGTATTAGTGTTCTTTGTGGGACAAAATGAAGAGGTATTACAGATACCAGAAAAGTAAATGTCAGTTTGATTTTTAAAAAGGAAAAAAAACGTTGATTTTGCAAATCTACATACTGTAGAAGACTATTCTTAAATCCTTAAGATTTAAGAATTTAAATCTTAGTCCAACACTGTGTGAAGACTCTTTTCTTTAAGGGCCTAAATCTCATTCAAGAGGGAGGAACCCTCATGGTCTAATCACCTCTTAAAGGCCCTGCCTCTTAATAGAAGAATCACGTTGGCAACACCTGAATTTTGGAGGGGACATATTCAAACTATAGCATCTGCTCCCAAAACCCTTCTGCCCCCCAAGGTCCTGGCACACTGGGCCTGTGATGACTTGAAGATCTCTGAAATGCCTTTGGGGTCATTCTCCCAATGTCTTGATGAGTAGCCCTTGGCTTCCTTTTGTCCCTACTAATTTGCTCATCAAACAGTTGCTTGGCTACGCCTTTGGTTTTCTCTCCTAAATGTGATTCTTTATTCTTTACATGGCCAGGCTGAGCATTTTCCAAATCCTTACATTCTGCTTCCCTTTTGATTATAAATTCCATCATTAAATCATTTCTCTCTTCTTGTATTTTACTAAACCACACAGCATCCTGAACACTTTGCTGCTTGGAGATTTCTTCTGCTAAATATTCTAGTTTATCACTCTTAAGTTCTGTCTTCCACAAAGTCCTAGAACACAGCCAAGTTCTTAGCCACTTTACAACAAGGATGACCTTTCCTCCAGCTTCCAACACCTTGTTTCTCCTTTCCATCTAAGATGGAATAGTCTTCATTGTCCATATTTCTACCAACACTCTGCTCATGACCACTCAAGTAATCTCTAAGAAGAACGAGGCTTTCTCTACAGCTCTTCTCCTCTTCCGAGCCCTCACTAGAATCGTCCTTAATGTCATTCATTGCAATTTAGGCTTTTTCTGGCATTTACTTAAAAATTGTTTCAGCCTCTACCCATTACCCAGTTTCAAAGCTGCTTCCACATTTTTAGGTATTTGTCATAACACCCTACTTCTCTGGTACCCATTTCTGTCTCAGTCCATTTATGTTGCTATAACAGAATACCATAGACTGGGTAATTTATAAGGAGTAGACCTTTGTTTTCCACAGCTCTGGAAGCTGGGAAGTGCAAAATCAAACCACTGACATTTGGTCAGGTGAGGGCCTTCTTGCTGTGCCTCACATGGCAGAAGGCAGAAGAAGGGCAAGCTAGCCAAAGGCTGCACAAAGCCTTTTTTTTTTTTTTTTTAAGGGCCTTAATATCATTCACTAGGGAGGGAAAAGCCCTCATGGCCTAATCATCCTTTGAAGGCTCCACATCTTACACTATCACATTGGTAACTCCTGAATTTTGGAGGGGACACATTCAAACCATAGCACCTGGTTTAAAAAAACTTAGAAAAGTTTACAGAAGGGATACTTTGTAAGTAATCAGAAAATGAAAGAGCTAGCAAAAATTCATGAAAAACAAATTATATCAGATCAATGATTAATTTCAGAACTCATGTGTTATATCCCAAGTGCCTGGCACAATGCCTAGTACACAGTAGTTGCTCCACAAATATTTACTGACCAATTTCATTTCCTTTTTTGACAGTATTAACTACTGTCAGAGAGTATATGTAAAAGTGGTCTGCATATTATAAAAACATTCTGATGTACTTTAACAATAACACTGTGACTTCTAAGTGATCAGGCCTATCTGGTATATATGGAAGATCAGGAATTCACACATTTGTTCATCCAGCAAATAATTATTGAATGCTTCCACATGGCATGTACTAGGCACGTGGCAGTCAACAAAAGACCAAATTTCTGTCTTTATAGGGCTCATATTCTAATTAGGAGAGATGGTCAATAAATACATTAATAAAAAATACTACATCAAATGGTGAAAAATACAATGGAGAAGCATAAATCAAGGTAAAAGAACAGAGAGGAACTGGGTGGGTGGTAAAGAAAGCCACTGGGATAATGAGGGTGACGAAGGTGATTGAGTAAGCCATGCAAATACCTGCGAAAAGCAGGTAAGCAAGGACTTTCATAACATTCTTATATCATAATAACGAAATACGGGCTGTATGATAGCACTTTTAGGAGTATTCAAAATAAACTGAATGATTATTCTCCAAAAGTGCTGATTAACAAAAGAATTGATATTGACCCAGAGGGAGGTTCTTAGGGCCACGTTGCACAACTCTGATCTGAGCTCTGTACTGGTTAACATTTCATCATGACTTAAACTGGCGAAAAACTAGCTAATTAAATTTGAGGATGACACAAAGCTGGAAGAAAAACTTAAAACCACTGGATTACAGAAATAACATCCAAAAAGGTCTTAACAGGCTGAAGCAATTGCTCCAATCTAACAAGGTAAAATCTGATCATGTCCAGAAAGTACTCTGTAAAGTACATGGTAAGGAGAGGTGGCTTAAGCAACAACATACGAAAAAAAGAACCTCTCGGGGTTTTTGTTCACACTAAGCCCAGTTTCAACAGTGTGATATATATAATTGCCCCTGAAGGCTGATGATTATTAAGGAACTATTAAGTATTTAGGACCAAGAAAATGATATTTTCATTCAATTCTACATTCATTGGACCACACCAAGAGTAGTATTTTGCTCAGTTCTGGGGATCAAAATGTAAGAGAGATTTAAACAAACAGATGCATCTTGGTAACACCAGGGAGTAAGAGCCATGTATTAAGGAAATTGGTTGAAGGAACTAAGGGTATGTATCAGGGAGAAGGACAAAATGCAAGTGTGTGCGAGGTGGGGAGATAACATCTATCTTCAAATATTGGAAGGGCTGGGCTGTCCTGTGGAAGTAGAACTGTATTTTACTCAGTTTATCACAAAAGTTGAACTAGGATCAATGAGTGGAAGCAACCGGGAAAACATTTTGGTAGATCATATAAGAAAATGTCACAGTCATTAAAGTAAGGACGTTACGATGCCTCTGTCACACAATAACTGCCTCAGAAGACAGGAATGTTGTAGTGAGGATTCAGAGGATGAGCTGACCTTTAAGGTAATTCTACCTGATGGTTCTATAACTAATGCAATAGATTAGTCTCTCTCTTTCTTTTTTTTTTTAAGTAATACTGAGGCAGCAGCTTGCTTCTCTCTCCCTTTCCGTACCATTTTATTCCAGGGAGAGGAAATGTCTTCAATAAAGATTATTTTTCCACTTAAATTTTTCTCACATTTTTTGTTTTAATTTTTCTATTGTTTCAACTTCTCTATTATTTATTCCTTTGAGCATTTTTGATATTTATAATAATCTTCTGATATGTATATTATTATAAGACATATAGCAAAATAATATATAAACATACAGTAAATCACATTTAGTGTTAATTACTGTGCAACTACTTTTTATTTACTGTCATCAGTTAGATAGAGGGCAACTGTGAAGTCACTACTGCATCTGTTGTCTTTAGCACCTAAGTCTTTTATAAAAATTAATTTGAAATGGATCACAGATTTAAATGTATAACATAAAATTATGAAAGTTTTAGAAGGTAACATGGAAGTTATCTTTATCCCAAAGGAATAAAGACTTATGTTTACTCATAAAGCTGTATGGGATTGTTCATAGCAGTTTTATTATAACTGCCAAATATTGGAAAGAACCAAAATTTTCCTCAATAGGTTTTTAAGAAAAATTTCAGTACCTAGAGCTTGGTGAAGAGTGCGTAGACAAGATAGCAAAAGGTGATCCATAAAAGGAAAAAACCCTGATAAACTGAATTTCATCAAAATTAAAACTTTGGCTCTGTGAAAGGCCCTGTTAAAAGGATGAAAAGACAAACTACAAACTGGGAGGAAATATTTGCAAGCTCCATATCTGATGAAGGACTCATGTTAGAATATATATAGAATTCTCAAAACTCAACAGTAAAAATCCAAAGAATCCAATTAGAAAATAGGCTTAAGACATGGAAACATTTCACTTAAAAGAACATATGGATGGCAAATTAGCACATGAAAAGTTGTTCAACATCATTAGGTATTTGAAAAATGCAAGTTAGGACCATGATGCGATATCACTATACATGTATTAGAATAACTAAATAAAAAACAGTGATAATACCAAATGCTGGTGAGGATGCAGAAAAGCTGGATCTCTCATACATTGCTGGTAGAATGTAAAATGGTACAGCCACTCTGGAAAATAGTTGGATAGTTTCTTAAAAAACTAAACATACCCTTACCATATAACCCAGCAGTTGTACTTTGGGGCATTTATCCCAACGGAATGAAGACTTACGTTTACTCATAAAGCTATATAGGATTGTTCATAACAGTTTTATTATACTTGCCAAAAATTGGAAAGAACCAAAATGTTTCTCAACAGGTGAATGTTGAAATAACATAGTATTTCCATACCATAGAATACTATTTATTAATAAAAACCAACTACTGATACAAGCAACAACTTAGATGGATCTCAAGGGCATTATGTGAAGTGAACAAAGCCAATCTCAAAATATCACATATTACATGATTCCATTTATATAGCATCCTCAAAATGATAAAATTATAGAGATGGAAAACAGATTAGTGGTTGTCAGGGATAAGGGATGGCACAAGTGAGATCTTTGTGGTGATGGTTACACAAATCTACGCATGTAATACAGTGACATAGAACTACACACACCCATTATACCAAGGTCAAATTTTTGGTCTTGAAATTGTACTATAATTATGTGTGATATAAGCATGGGGGAAACTAAGTGAGGAATACATGGAACCTCTTTGTATCATCCTTGCAACTTCCTGTAAATCTATAATAATTTCAAAATAAAAAGCAAACCAAAAAAAAAGGTAATCTTGGCAATTCAATTAAGAAACATAATGTCTTTGTGTTCTGTACCATAATTATCTTTGTCTAGGAACAACTAAGCCACTGTCAAAGGAAGAAGGGGAACTGAAGATAGGAATCAGGGGCTGTGAAAAAGGGAGACGATATTAAATTGGCTAGGTGGAAGAATTAACTAAAAAGTCTTTAAAATTATTAAGCACAAGGATACAGATAAACTTTTTTTTAAAGTAATTACCTTGACATGAAATTCATTATCCAATAAGATATTCTGAGTCTTCAAGTCGTGATGAAGTAAAGGAGGATTCATATTGTGCAGGTAATTTACGCCAAGTGCGATTTCGTGCAGGATGCGAAACCTCAGTGGCCAAGCAACCTCAGGATATTCAGTTTTCTATATGTATATGAAAAGAAACAAAATGAAAAGTAGTCCAATTTTGACAACATTTCACACTTAGAAAATTAAATATTCCATGAGGAAATATAGTATAACCTAAAGCTAAATCATATGCTCATTTTTGTAACAGCATCAGTTTGATAATTGCTTAACATTCTTGTATCTTACTTTCCTCACTTTATAGAGAAAATAATGATAACTTTAGAGTGCCAATACTTCCTTTCAATTTCTATTAGTCATGCAACTACATGGTATTGGGTCTTCTTTCTTCAGCTGACACAGACCTTAATTATTCTGTATCTGTATATAGCCAGACACATATACCTATACTCATGTCCACCTTCCTATTCTATGACTTAGTTGAGTAACCTGAACAAAAACACACACAAAATTACATACGATCTGTTTCCAGTACATATCAAACCATTCATTCAAAATTTAAATTTTTTCTATTAATATAAAATCATACTTTATTATAATAATCACTGCATCAATTAAAAATT